CTGCCTTACAAGCCATCTGCTTAATGCTGGGGGAGTAGAGGGAAGAATAGCAAGGTGCGTTTGTGATATACGGTCATTTTTTTGAGCCTTGGCTTATTTCTCTGCTGTGCTCTGTTATCCAAATCCTAAAATGTTCACGATTACTTTTTTCAATTTTTCCAAACCACCAACTCTGCTGAGTAGCCTGAATAAAGAAATTGCTCTACTCTTCTGTAAAGTTTGCATACCATTAATACTATTATTCCAGAATGGTTGATGTAGCATGGAATGAAGGAATTTTGTTTTAATTTCACCAGTATTTTTTATTTCATGTATGCTCATCAGGGTGCAAGATTAGGCTGTTCTTAATGTAGAAAAGTATACTCTTCCACTTTGCACATTCATTGTCTGTGGCAAGTCTAACAGGACACAAGGTACACCAAAGCTGGAGCATTGTGCCTCAACACTGAGTTCCGAAATGCTGATTTTGCTCCATTCCTTATAAACACATCTTAATATGTTTTGTAAACTGATGCATAAAGGACTCTTTGCCTTTGAATGAACAATATCATAATCCACACAATGATGATGACCACCTTTTTACATTCATATACAAACTCACAACAAACACAGTGGTTACAAAAGCAGGTCAGAAACTAGGAATAGTGCAGCAAATAACTCACCACCTGGCTCTCCTAAGCCTGTCCGCCATCCACAAGACAGGAGTGTGGTGGAATGCTGCCCACATGCCTGAATGTGTGCAGTTGCAGGACACAGCAGCCCACTTGATTTGCACCGCCTCCACAAGCATCCACTCCCTCCTCCACTGTCATTCAGTAGCAGCAGTATGTACTACAAGGTGCACTGGAGAAAATCACCAAAGAATCTGAGACAGCTCCTTCCAATCCCACTGCTACTTCCATCTAGAAGGACAAGGGCATTAGATACATGGGAACACAACCACCTACAAGTTCTCCTGCAACCCACTCGCCATCCTGACTTGGATATATGTTGTTGCTGTTGAGTAAAAATCCATGAATTTCCTCCCTAGGGGAATTGTGGGTGAATTTGCAGCGCAAGAAAGCAGTTCACCACAACATTCTCAAAGGCAACAGGAAGCAGGCAGTGAATATTGGCCCAATCAGTGGTATCCACATCCCATGAGTGAACAAAAAAAAACTTCCCAAGAGCAACTCCGATTCTTATTGATGCAGCTGAAGGGGAGTGGGTTTCAGAATTAGTTGATAGGTGAATACCCATCTTTCAGTCTCATGCTGTCATGAATTCAGTTTTGTACCACAGTGCAAGTGTGCAAATGTGCTCGTGTGGTATGTGTAGCACTGTAGCTGTCTTGGCAATCCAGTAGTCTGACTGGACCTGTTCAAATTTTTTTGAAAACTGAGCAGGCTGCACATTCGGTAAACCTGGTTGAATTGTTTCTAACTGATCCAGATGGAAGTACATCCTTTACAAATGTTGTGAACAAAGGAGCTCTGAATCTTCTGTACTGTTATGCAAAAGTGCTGAAGTAAATGTTTAAAGCAGTAATCAAAAACAAATTCAGTTTGCATTTTTTTTAAGCTGCGGAACATGTTCAAATAACATTTTTTGCTGAGGTCTTGATCATTTTAGACTCCTGACCCTTCCATCCTTGTGTTCCCAATCTGCTTCTGTTTGCTGTATTTTCTGTAACTTCCTGCAGTTGTTTGCACTGCTTGTATTATTCATTATCCTGGTGTTTTGCGGTGTGCATGGGGTGGTGGAAGATGGAGTGGTGGCTTTTTCTGTCCCTGTTGGATTTCTGCCCAATTTCTGCAGAAGTTGAGAATGTTGTTTTGTACAGCATTGGGCAAGCATCAATTGTAATTAACTTAGGACACCATTTTCAGATTTTTAAAACTGATTTGCACACCGGCTTTTGCGACGTATTCAAACTAATAACTTAGTGAGCACAGATATAATCCATCTGAAGATTAGCAAGAGCATAAACTGAGTTTTGCTCTTGAGTTATGCTGCTATCAGCATTGCCTTCAAATAGATTATAGCCTCATAATTCAGTTTCCAGGTAATATGACCCTGTTATTGGTGTCATGTGAATCCAAAGATTAGATTTCCTCAGTAGTTTCCCTTTATCGAGTATTTTAATGGGTTTAACTATTTTCTTGTGTTCTGCAATTTCGTGATAAACATTATTGAAGAACTGAAGGATATCCCTACCGCAGGAAATATTTGTGCATTGAAAACCCTACGAGATTGAGCAGCATTGGCAAGAGCCTGGCTGAAGCCACCTGCTCAGTTTGGCAGCTGGTGTTGGTTAGAACTTAGAACTTAGAACTTAGAACTTAGAACTTAGAACTTAGA